TTAAATCAATAAAGAAAACATTACACACACTACATACCATGTATTTGACGCACACACGCATGCATACTGTTTATTGTCAAACTTTTGTTCTTGGCGTCTGTTGTCAAATTGAGAATAGATTAAATATTGTTTGTCTTTGTCAATATTTTTTACAGTGTAGTCTTGGCGAAATTTGTGATTATAGAAGTATAAAATTAATACAATCATAATAGTGTACAAAACTTACAATTCCAATTAATTATAGTCGAATTTCGACTACTACGGGACTTCTAGTAGTTATAATCAAAAACGTATGTATAAATCACTAATACTAAATTTGCGTAGTTATTAAAGGTATGACGTTTTATTGCTGAGCTCACGATCCACTTGATAATAGTAAGCGTCGTTGCTTCAGCAAGTACGCCCACTCATAAATTCTTAAAGAAATCGGCAATGCCAAAGTATAACCTAGCTGTACTTATCGCTAAGATTGACAAAACAATCGACTACATATGTGGGTTAAGTAGGCGCTTGTAAAGTTTCCGTATTCTTTCCGAAAATTTATAATAATAGTTCACTAAAGAATAACTTGTTAGATGAAAAGCCTACAATACTATAAAAATATATATACTTACCGGTATAATATCGAAGCGACCATCACAAAAACGGATCTGTACTTGGAAATTCAGATTTCCCGGGAGACAGATTAAGTATTCCGGGATAGCTTTTAAAGACAGAAAATTAAAGTCGTCTCCAGATTAATCCTATCGCAGTACAAATTTAATAAAGTATATTATTCTGAAATAATTCCTATTCTTTAGTTTAATTCATGAGTTTTTGATTCTGCGTAACCCTAATCTGTGGCGTATCTTTTTTAAATAATAATTTTTACCAATTGTGCTCTGAAACACCTTCATGAATGATCAGCTACTTTCTATATGTTTTTCATTTAAATAAAATGCTCCATTTTAATAAAATAAAATTCTTTGTTTACTACAAATTTTGATAAATGCATTGGAACCAATAATTTGTCACAATATAAATATATTCATTGTTATAAAGATTCAGAAAATCTTAAGAATGTATCTCATTACTAAAATGTTCACCTACAATTTTAATAATGTCGTTCAAGATTAAATTTCAACAATATATTGAACTAAAACAATAACCATTGTTATATTAAACTATTGTGTTGTTAACGACCATTGTATCAAAATATTACACACTTGGCTAAAGGGCTTTTGTTTCTGCACAAAAAAAGGACATCGATTTGGTAAAATTTTAACAGGATCTTCAATCGTGCCGTCGGCAAAATTGCGAAGAGTTTTTGACTTCAAAAAGTACGATAAGATCTAACTTGGTATTCATAGCACATAATCGTGATATGATAATAGTGATGTAATTGTTCTCTGGACTAAGCGTTTAGTGAACATGACTCATTGATATAGGAATTTTATGAATCATATTATCGTATCTATCATATACAAGCATATACGTTATTGGGTAATGAAATAATAGTTCTTTGAAATATATTTTTTTATTGATGTGCTTGATTTTATTCGCGTTTTTAATGGTATCTTCATCGATTTAAAATGAATATTGTCTCTAATTGGAACGTTAATAGTATTTCTTGACATTGATATTAGATATTGTCTATTGTATAAATACAACATTTCAAATGAATATCGGTTATAGCAAATTTGTAATTCTTTTTAATAATACGTCTTGAAGTTATAGTGTAGATATGTTAAAATCCGAGTAAAAAGAAACTATAAGTGCACAAGTATTCGTTTACCGTAATAATTCAACCTAATGGTTCTGACTTTAAAGTTTACCATTTCAATGAAACAAGAATAAGTCATATCAGAAAAAATATGTATACTATTTCAATCTATACTAAAATTGTAAATTATGTTTAAGTTTGTATTTCACGCGAAATTATCTGAAGAGATCTGAAAGGGATTTCATATATAGATAGTCCGAATTATAAATTAAGACAGGATAGTTTTTATCATGGTAATGCCGTGCGGTTCCCAGCCTAGAATTCGACTTATCCCTACCATCTCGTGGATCTCGTAAAAAAAGACTAATGGACTTCTTGTGATTATCTTAAGTCAACAATAACCCAGGGAGGGTTGACATCAGGCAAGCGGGAGGTAGTAGAACTCGTGCCTAATCCCTATGCAACACGATATGATAGTTAGGGAATATTGCGCCAACCCTACATAATGTGGGATAAAGGCAAGAAAAAGATGAATGTTTGATCATGGTAAATGAGATGATCTGGACAACGCCGCTTATGATTATTACGATACCGCGCACGCTGGTTCGTAATTTTATTTATCAACGGATATAAGCATCGACTGGTGGTTTTTTGACCTTCTCTCTGACTCTTTCTGACTCTCTTCTCTCTTCTTCGACCCGTGTTCACCCAATGCTGAGTCTCTTCGAATGCACTCCATTCTTTTCGGTCTCTTGCCTTTCGCATCCAATCTCTACCAAATACTTTGACTAGGTTATCAGTCTACCTCGTTGGCTGTCTGCACACGATACGACGTCCAGTACGAGGTCTCCACTCCAGTATTTTTGAGCCCAACCGATTGTCAGTGCGACGACATATGTGGCCAGCCCTCTTCCACTTTTTCCGAGTTTTTCAACGAGACAGAAGCAATTCCATTTGCCGTGAAACGTGTTTTATTCTATCTACAAAAAATTATAATAACGCTATTGACATTGTGCGACGCGTCTAGTTAGGAATTAAAGAGGATTTTTTTTAGACAGATACGATATAAATTTATTTTCTGGTATTGATTGGTCAATGGAGGCTGTGGACATTGCAAATTTCAATACGGCTACCCGCCTTGAGACAAAAAGTTGTAATTTATTATACCGTCCCAATCTTCAACCGGAATTCGTGATTGTTCTACGGTAGAAATATACATGGCCTCTACCTACATCCTGGCTTCAGGAAACATTACCTCTCATACCTCATTTCGATGAGTTGGTTTTCTTTACTATAAAAATCAAAAGAATAATACTTTTCGAACCGTTCAAATTCATTAGACAGTTTAATTTAATGAATAGTTATGTAAATCAGTTGCGTACGCACAAATTCCTCACTTACATTTATCCGTTTCATTCTATCTTATCAGCACTATCTACTACTACTAATATTGAGCTTAGATTACATACGTTACGATGACAATAATCTCTGATAATTGTATTTGCATATTTTTTTATCAAAAGACCACGAATTATTTAAAAAAAAAAAAGGAAATACGCTAAGGATTTGTGATTTGTTTTATCTAAATAGTTTTAACGGCCTACATTATTTTATGTGGTAACGGTACTTCAAGGTACATGATAACGTGCTTCTATGATCCATTATAAGATATACATAACAAAAATACGCTTCAATAGCAAACCGAACTAACAATTAATTTATTATTCTCTTGATACTGGACAGGATATTAGAGCGAAGTTATAAAGTTATTGTATTATCATCGGTCTTAGAAGCGCGTGCAAATTTTCAAGTTGAACGGATGTCTTGAAGACGTCCCTTTCTAAAGGTTGCGTTAGATAGAAAGAAACATAAATACACATCAAGCTAATAATAGCGTGTTAAAGAAAATTATATTCATGAAAGGCAATAATTCATTTTGATTACTTAATATTTCACAAAACAATACTTTGGGCCGAAAAAAAAGAAGTAAATAATTTTATTACGAACTGTTTGAGTGCACTTGCACGGAATTGAGAAGAAAAACTCCGTGAAATAGTTGTAATTCAAAGACACTTGCGCACAAAAGTCTTGAATATTGTAACCCTCGAATAGACTTAATCAGTGATTTCAATTATCCTAAACGAATATGTTTACTACAGAAGATAAACGTACTGATTTAGTTTAATAGTAAATACGGCGTGACAATAGTAAAATACGATTTTATGATCTCGTTTACAGCATATGTCGCTTTTATGTTTTGGTTTCTGATAATTATTTAGGAATATTGTACTTAATAGTTACCAAGGCGAAAGTGTGATAAATTCTGCATTCTTCAATAACTCGTACTGTTAGATTAGTCAGCATGTAGAAATTAATATACGTCTAAAAATATATCAAAACGATTGTCTTAATCCATCTGAAGCACATAACTGCGGTGGCGATTAATGGCAAGGAAATAATCGTCAAACAACTTTGAATCTCCCAATGGAATATTATTTTGTAAGCATGTCCCTGAACGTTTCTTATTAATAATACACGTGCTTATAATATTATTACTGATTATATGCTACATGAATACACGAAAAATATAAATAATAATTTCCGGTATAATACACTTTTCTAGTGGTAATAGAAACTCTTTATGCTACATAATATATCATTTGAATACAGTATTTTTTTAAGCAACGACTTCATTAGGTCTCTACGCAAAGTGCGAATATATGTATTTATTCGCATCTTTAGATAACAACTACTAATAGAATTAGGACACACTCAAACACCAACTAATGGTGTGCTATTTAATTTTTAACAATCGATATAATTAATGTTGTTTATATTTTATTGCAGCGTAGACGAATATACCTAGTTAATTTAAAATTAGGGCATATATTCCTTGTAATATGCTAGGTGCACTATATTATAAATAAAATAACATACTATATTTATTATACTTTGAATATGATTTGATCTATTACAAAATGTTGATCATAAAAATTATAACAATTAAAGCTTCAAGAATAAAAATATCATACAGAAGGGACAAAAAATTTTTAAAAAAACGAGAATGAAGATGAGATAAAGATGAGATTAAAATAAAAACAATAAAAGTAAGAAAAAACTTTCGACACACAATAATTCACGATTATTATTTTCTTAAAATAAGATCACCTCGTATAAACTACATGTAAATAAAATAGATTAACTTACTTTACGTATTTGGTTTATTTTTTCATAATTACAACGAGTAACAAATATTATAAGCACTTTACAATACGTATAAATATATTAAAACACTTACCACAAAAAGACATCTCAAATAAATAAAAACACATCAGTTCACAAATCACTCAAACACAATGAACAAATATTATTATAATGAATTGAAAAAAAAAACCACAAACGTGTATTGTTTAATAGTTCTGTTGATTAATTTAATTCACAATTTGACAGATTTCGTCACCGATAGATGTTCGACGGAAAGCATACGTCTTCTACGACACCTAAAGCCGAACTGAGGACCTGTGAGGAGCGGGCGGACTCGGTGTTGTCAATGCTTAGTGACGATTAGATTTTCTCCAAAAAAATGGTAAACCGAAAACTGAGGCTAGAAAGAAACGGCGCCTCCTAATCTCTCTTTATATTTCTACAAAAGGTTTCTAGGATGCTTAAATCACGATGAATTTAATTTATAAATCAAATGGTATCCAGTAGTAGTCTAAAGTAATAAGTTCTAGAAATTTCATAAAAGATTACAGTTAATTTTATTAATCTAGTAATTTTTGAGTAGCGTTTTTCTTGGAATTTTGTCTTCGCAAAATTTTAAAGTATCTTTGAGAGTATCTTTGTTTTTTTTTTAACTACGAAGGTAAGCGTTCTGGAAAATGCTGAAATCTGGATATTTCTTCAGCGCTTTCCACCCAAAGATTCGCTTGTTTCAGGCGCGCGCCGCCCCGTACCTCCGGATGCGATACCTGGCCCATGTTCCGCTAATTTCCCGCCATAGCTTACCTGTTCGTTTTATTATGCAATCTCATATTAAAAAAGAAGCATAATGACTCATATTTCACTGAGTTTACTGGTTAGGATCCATTTCCCCTCTAAGGGAGTGGTCTTTTCGATGTCGCGATAAAAACGTTTAAGCGGCTCGGCTCTCGGTTTATCTATATATTAATACGTGAAGCAAAAACTTTGTATCCCTTTTTACGAAAGTTGCGCTGACAGAGGAGTATGAAATTTTCCACACTTATAGAGAATACAGAGAAGAAGTGCACAATGCTAATATTTTTTTTAAAAAATGCATAAAAGATACATTAAATCAATAAAGAAAACATTACACACACTACATACCATGTATTTGACGCACACACGCATGTATAGTATTTATTGTCAAACTTTTGTTCTTGACGTCTGTGGTCAAATTGAGGATAGATTAAATATTGTTTGTCTTTATTGATATTTTTTAATAGTGTAGCCTTGGCGAAATTTGTGATTATAGAAGTATAAAATACAACCATAATAGTGTACAAACTTACAATTCCAATTAATTATAGTCGAATTTCGACTACTGCGGGACCTCTAGTTAAACTAATTCTTTGTCAAACAAACGTACACTTATATTAAAACAATCTTGCAAAAAATGCTATTCATAATACGTAACATAGTTTCCGAATACATTTTAATTTCCAGTACATAGCAAATTTAATTTCCCTTAAACGTTTAAGTCAGATTAAAATTCGCCCGCTGTTAAAAACTTTAATTAAGTATTTAATACAATACCTATATTTTATAATAAATAATAGTTGTTGTCGGCTCGAAGCTTAATGCAATATAAATTATTTTTCAATTAGCAATGTAATGGCTTTATTGTCCATGAAAGTTCGTTCCAGGCTCCTTTTCTCAATTTTGGTGGACAGTGGCTACCAGAGGAATGCCATCCCCCTGAGATCTAAAGTCGAAGTCTCAATTGTATTGTATTATAGTTATCCCAACCTTGATACCGGAACGTATGCCTGCTTGACAGCAGAAATAAACAGGACGGTAGTACCTAACCGTGCGGGCTCATAATACACGCTAACACTAGCAAATCCTACGTGATGGTTTCTGTACGCTGTTATAGTTCTTAGAGAGCGCTCCCATCCTCCAGTGAATCCCTAGTGGACTTTAAGACAACCACCTAACAGCTTACGCCACGACCACGAGTCGCGAATGCCGAAGAAAATATGTACTTCATTTAGTTTTGTTGGCTGTGTACCTACCCTTTCTTATTTTAGCTCCGTGATAAAATTAACTTGGAAAACGATTAGAAATATCAATTCTAAATAACCATTCGGAAATAAATTTCAGGTTTTCGAATGTACTAAGCTAAAAATCTATCATAAAATATTTGGAATCGTCGTTGTCTAAAGAATAAGATACCAGATTGATTGTCACTCCAAGCATTCCGGAGGAGGGCACAATTTTTTCTAAGAAAATACGTCCTTCCCGCGTATTCACTAATAACTTACACGAAGAAGACCAATATATCGCGTGAAAAAATCAAACCCGCACTAATAACCGGAGCATGTTAGAGTATCAGCTCACACGGGTTCACGGCACTATCATCATGTATACTTGTGTCACGAAACAGTAATGCCATTTATTTGAACAACGGGACAATCGAAACATTGCACAACTGAGATTCGAACTGCAATTCTCATCGTGAGTTATCCACTTTACATCTGGCAAGCCGTGAGTGACTTCGCTCACTCATCACTACATAGTATAAAACAAAGTCGCTTTCTCTGTCCCTATATCCCTATGTATGCTTAAATCTTTAAAACTACGCAACGGATTTTGATGCGGTTTTTTTTAATAGATAGAATGATTGAACAGGATGATTAATATGTACTAGTGGTCCCGCAGTAGTCGAAATTCGACTATAATTAATTGGAATTGTAAGTTTGTACACTATTATGATTGTATTTTATACTTCTATAATAACAAATTTCGCCAAGACTACACTATAAAAAATATTAACAAAGACAAAAATAAATAATCTATTCTCAATTTGACAACAGACGTCAAGAACAAAAGTTTGACAATAAATAGTATGCATGCGTGTGTGCGTCAAATACATGGTATCTAGTGTGTGTAATGTTTTCTTTGTTGATTTAATGTATCTTTTATGCATTATTTAAAAAAAATATTAGCATTGTGCACTTCTTCTCTGTATTCTCTATAAGTGTGGAAAATTTCATATTCCTCCGTCAGGGCAATTTTCGTAAAAAGGGATACAAAGTTTTTGCTTCACCTATTAATATATAGATAATAACATCCATTAAATAGTGGAGAAATCAATAATAAATTACAGTTTCCGAAGTGAAGCGAGGGCGTGTCGTTAGTAAATGCAAAAAACGAAAATGTTTATGATGCGGTAGTGCAACACTAATAACTATTATTCCCAATTTTATTGTTTGAGTATTTTGATATACTTCGAAGCGTTTTTATTTGTATTTTCGCCCGAACTGGGACACAGTAGACATTGCTTGATGCTCTAGTTGTTTTGAGGTCATTTTTATTTGTGAATTCAGTGACGAGTGTTTTATTCTGGACGATTGTATTGTGAGAATGGGGTTGTAGCTTTTATTAAATATGTTTACTTGTATAGAATGTAGTAGTAAAATATTTAGTTACCTTTAACATAATTTATATATATAAATGAATTTCTGTTCGTTAGTCTCGCTAAAACTCGAGAACGGCTGGACCGATTTGGCTAATTTTGGTCTTGAATTATTTGTAGAAGTCCAGAGAAGGTTTAAAAGGTAGATAAATATCAAAACTCCTTTTGTTTGTTTTAAGTTTATTTTATACAAAAGTTTAGGTCTTTTATCAATCGATTGAGGCACTACGAAGTCTGCCGGGTCAGCTAGTACGCTATATAAATTAAAACAAAACGAAGTAGTTACATATCCATTTATTAAGTTTCAAGAAAACTCTGTGAAATGATATGTAGCATTCAGGATTTAAGACAAAAGTACATAGTTTGCCTTTTTTGGATTTAGATACGGTTGTTTTTTAAATATTAAAAATCAAACATAACATTATCTACTGTTGACTAATTTTATCTTGAATAAAATATAAATATCCGACAACCATTGAAATTTTGACATTACTATTTATTCTACTATCGGCTAAACGTAAAGAATTGGTTGAAAAGCAATACTTCTTGATTCACATGCCAGTAAATAGCCCTGAAAATATTCCGCGAAAGCATAGCAGGTTCACTATAATACTAAATAACATTCTACCCAGTATATATCCGTATTCGTGGGAAGTGGGAGGCAACAAATTTGTCCGCATTAGGGATGGCAATAGTAGCAACACAAGTCCACAGATAGCCAGTGCAATTGTAGTGCTTAAAGCATTACCTCCTTGAAACATACTCTGATTTAAGGCGACCTTAATACTGTTACGCGCTGGGGTTCGGGATAAATAAATGTTCCACCAAAGTACAACTAAAAACTGTATTCAACACTTAGAACACTTAAAACACTCAACAAACACTTTAAAACTCCAATTCGCTTCTTCCGCTTCTCACCAGGGGATCCGTTCACTGTTTTGCTTCGAGTAGTTCCGATTACTAACTGACTGCGTGCCATCTCTGCAATGCTTTTATAGTCGAGACGAAATCCCAAGAATCTTAGAGAATATTCCAAAAAGCCGAGTACTGTGTTTCCGCTAACTGACAATAGATGGCGTTGTACTTCTCGAGCGTTCTAGATGCTACTAGATCCTTCGATATTCGTTCGACTATTTGGCGATAGTTGGCGTTACTCTTACCGGCGTAACAATACGAACGATGTAGCCGGTTTGTCTAGAAGGGGAGTTCTCGTTAGAGATAAGTAAAAATCTTTTCAGTAATGAATTAGTTCTGAGACTCATTTCTAAAAAAAAATATCATTAATATATGTATATATTTGTAGTACACATTGAAAGCCCATATGTGTGGACACGTCTTTCCTATTTCTGATGCAGAGCATACGTATTTTTTTATGATAGAAAGATTTATTACTGGTGGGCCGGAGGCCTTTCCAGGTCCACCAGGATAGGTGAGCGAGCAAAGACTCAGCCAGGAGCGGTTGGATTTGCGAACAGTATACATATTGAAAGCCCATACGTGGAGACACTACTGACCTATTTCTTATGCAGAGCATTCGTGCGTTACGGCTTGAAGGATAAGATAGTTGTATTACAATACAAATAGGACTTCGACTTAATGTTGCACGGTGAGTCGTTTAAGGCCATAAGGCATTCGGTTTGCTTACTTATTCTAACATTAAAATAATTTATCGCGTATCAAAACTTGATCAGAAACTAAAACGTGACAAAAGTACATCGACATAATTTTATTTTTATCTAATTTCATACTGTATGTTCTGATTTCACACAGTTTACACAGCTCGCTTTTTTACGCTTACTTCTTAATTATGAATTAAATGTTTAAATGT